CCCCCCTCCCCCCCGGCCTGTGTTTGAGTCTGACCGGTGAGGAATGGCTTGGTCGAGAGGAAAGCAGCACCGGTTTTACCTGAGCAAGTGGACACCTTTTCTTTTTTAACCGCACTAAGCACTTCTACGATGACCTGTTTTATTTAAGAGAAAACTGGAGGCGGTGTGCGCTGCTGTTTTGCACTTTAGGAAACAAGAGGACTCATACATTCTGAGCTTATGTAGGTAGAAATCCCTCTTAGACGCTGTTTAGATGATCTAGTTGTATTTTACACGGTTTCCAGCAGCACCAGTAGGAACAGTAAAGTAGCAGCAGAGGCACTGGGATTTTCCCTCCTCCTCCTCCYCCGCATCTCGTTTCTCCTTCCTCCTCCTGCTCGGAGCTGTTTTCGCCGGGTCGTCCGGACTTGTTGGAGGTGCAGAAGATGGGACTGCCTGCTCTGGAGTTCAGTGACTGCTACCTGGACAGCCCGCAGTTCAGGGAGAGGCTCAAATCTCACGAGCTGGAGCTGGACAAAACCAACAAGTTCATCAAGGAGCTGATTAAAGACGGAAAGGCGCTCATTCAGGCTCTGAAAGGTGAGTAAAGGTGTGAAGAAACCAGGTGATTTAATGACATAACTTATTAAAGATTTATAGCTTATGCTAGAATTAGATGCTTGCATGTGCATATATAAGGGGGACAAAATAAATTACAACACACACATGACAAGAACAGTTATTAGATGTGGGTGGTTTGACAGTACAGACTGTGGTGTCCTCTCAAGCTGTCAGCACATTTGTCCCTATCAGCCAATTTATGGGACAGATGAAGTGTTTACACTCATCCACACTGATGMTGCTGACATTTATGTGTCTGTGCTGCTGCTTTATGAGGATAAAGAAAAAAAAAGTTCTGTAGGAGACATTTGTAAAAATATGTCCACGAGTTTGTACAGCAGCTTCTTTTGGTGTTGGGTGTTTGTGAATGAATGAAGGCCTGGATGGACAGATGTGGATTGTGTTAGAGTTGTTGTGTAAAATGTGAAACTACTTGGTTCGTTTAAGTTAAAGATCAGAAATGAAAGGTGCTTTACAAGCTAAGTGAGACATCTACAATGCCAGGACAGAAAACTTTAACAGGAAAAGCAGATTTGCATAAAAAGCAAATGTCCACTTATTTAAACGAGGACCCGATAAACTCGGTCATGACTTGTCTTGTTTTTTTTTTTTATAAAATAGGAATTATGACTAAAAGTTTGCACCAGCCAAACAAAAACCCTTTGTTTTTTCAAATATAATAAAGCCCATTTGGGCTATTTTTTAAACAATGAATTAGCTTTTCTTTCCTGCCAGGATTTAGCATGGCCAGCAGGGACTCCTTGCCTGCCTGGCTCACTCTGCAACCTGACCTTGATGATCCTGCTGCTTTTACTCACTGAAAGGAATCAGCTGAGGTAGTTTGGGCTTCTGGTAATTATGCCCCCTGGAATCCTCACTTTGGACACGTCCCACTGGGAGGAGACGCCGTGCAGACCCAGAACTTGTTGGAGGGATTTTATATCCTCCCTGACCAGGGAACACTGTAGGATACAACAAGAGGTGCTGGATAGTTGCAGTGGAGAGAGATATCTGGGTTTCCCTCCTGGACTTGTTGCCTCTGTGATCCTACCATCAATRTATGCATTAAAAGATGGATGGATGATTTAGCTTTTAACAATTCTCTTGCCTTATTGAATAACATGACATCAGAACAATATATTTTTTAACACAAAGGTTGTAGTTTCCGATCAGCAGGGCATGATTGTTCAGTGTTTGTTTTCTGTTGCAGTACAGGTTCAAATGTCATCATCTTGACCAAGATGAAATATTTGTTTTGCCATCTGTGTAGGTGGTATTGTTTCACTTTTTCGGTCTCTCTCTCTGTGTGTTTGGCACAAAATGTGACAAAGGTGACATTTGGGGGCAATTTTAAGACAAAATGCCTACCTTTGGGGACAACTGGTGCATTTGGGGACAAAAGTCGAGTCCCCATTTGGTTTAAATGCCATTGGTGGGTTGGTGGTTGGGTTTAGGACCAAGGTGTGAATTGAGTTTAGGTTAGTTTTAGGGTCAGGTAGGTACCTGTGAGGTTAGCCTTAGGGTTTGTGGTCAGGGTTAGGCTGTAGAAATGTAGTGGAAGTCAATGGAATGCCCCCAATTGGATAGCTGTGCAAACATGTGTGCTGTTGGTGACATATGATGTAACGGTGCAAACATTACCACGGGTCTACAGGTGCTTTGCAAGATGCAAGTTATAACGGAATTTTGTCTTCAAAATCAGGAAGTATTGAGTAATAATGGAGAGAATCAGAATGTCAGRCATTTTGAAAATTTTGATTGTTTTGTAAGTTTTACTCACTGACTTTGGACCCACTTTATTGAACCTCTGAAATGATGTGTTTCAAGTATTGATTCTTTTCTTGAGGCACCGATATGTAAGGGTGCACCAATAAATTGTCTGGCCAATTTATCTATCGTGGTTTCCTTAAAATTGGTCAATACTTACACGTGAAGCCAATCTTATCCACYGATTTTATCTACCTCTGCAAAGGTCTGAAATCTGCCACTGTTCCCTGTTCTGCTGTGCGAGAGAACTGTTGTCCAGTTAAACAAGTTTGTATTGTTTCAGTTCATTTTTTTGCTTCGTTTCAATTCAATGTTTTTCAGTAAAATAAGACTGGAACATTGACGGTGTATTGTGACCTTAATACACTTGACAGTGTGAGTTAAAAAAATCGTACTGCCCAAAATCAGAATCAGCAGGTCAGGCTTTTTAAAGATCTGGGATTAGAGATCCGCCAGAATCGGTGCACCGCTAAAGATAAAATTGAGATTAAATCAACAAAAGCTACAAATGAACTAAATATTCCATGGCATTGGAGATCCTAGTTAGTCTTTCAAATAAATAAATAAATAAATAAAAAWTTYTTTACACCGAATAACAAAACATTAAATTAGAGCAGAAAAATCAAACAAGATGAGAAAGATGGAATGTTACGTAACAAYGATTAAGCAAAACTATAGCTCTGAATTGATGTTTAAGCCCCGTTTCAAGGTTTGTGGCGTGTGAATCTCAGCAAAAGGAGAGGCTGCGACAATGAACTTTTTTCATGAGGGATGTTGACATGGAACTTTTGTCATAAGAGGAAGATCCAAGGGAGGACAGGATGTATCCAAAACCCCTACAAGAACTGAAAAAGAATTTGACCAGAATTTAGAGGGTTCAGATGATATACAGTACATGCAACTACCACTGGTAAAGTAACATAGATTATCTTGATACTGATATCAATATTTTTTAAAACAATACTGCATTGATTTTCTTTCTTTTATAATTGATACACCCCCCAACCCTTAGGGTCTGTATAACGATGTGTGACTCCTGTTCAGCGCTAGGAACAGCAAGCTGCAAGTGAGCTCAATGAGTAATCAAAATGTCCAGCAATATTCTGGAAGTGCCTTTGTCCTTAGTAGCAGAAGTTTGGACACATTTTGGTTTTTATAATTATAACTACAAAATATACAATAATATAATATTTTGSTGGTTTTGTTGAGTCAGTGGCATTGGGGAATGAGTAAAAAGCAGTGGTGGGCAGCGCTAATCCAAAAATTAGCTCCGCAATTTCTCAAGCGCTTGTGAAAATATTTAGGTCCACAACTTCAAAAGCACTTATGTCATAGAAATGCTAGCGATGGCTAATTTTAAAGCACAAGTTCAATTTGACACTCACTAGCTGGCAATAATTCATGTACAATATATGCACAACACTGCCAACTAACAGTGTATGAACCCTTTTACAGCTTATTCCAACAACTGCCAATTCCTAGGGATGTGATTTCCTGAAACAGACCTTTGGCTTCTGGTGTAAAAATTAAAAAGTTGTTGARGATTGCTAGTTCGGCTGATTCTTTGTCTTTTTCTTTTGTYTGTTGTAATTTTTTTTCATTAAAGAAGCATCAATAAAGCAATTTTAAAACTGTTTATTGGAAAACTGAAGCGATGCATTCTGGGGATGTACCCAGAATGATGTACCCAGACAGATTTGATTTGTGACTAGATTAGAATTAGCGGTACTGCATTTTAATTTTAGAAAGTGCAAGTCTGCTTGTGAATTATAAAAATTAGTAAGACCGCTAAAGCGCAAACAAAATTTTTAGGTCTGCAATTAGCGGATTTGCGCTTTAGCGGGCTGGTGCCCACCACTGGTAAAAAGTAATATGTATCAATGTTGAAAATGATTTGAGCTGCTCTGTATCAAGAGTTGCTATGTTCTGTGAGGTCTGTATTGAAAATTGAATGGAGTCGCCATGTCCTGGGTGATGCCCAGCCCTACTGGGATGTATAAAATGTCTTAGGCCTGGCTTGAATGTTTTTTGTGAAAGGGACTAAAGCTGCCTTATGGCATCAAGATTATCTTGTCCTACCCGAAATCTTTAGGGGAAGAGCTGAGGACTCTGCAAAAACATCTCAAGAATGTCTCAAAGAGCACAAAGGTGTTAAACTGGATTCCACATTTCCCAGAGGCTGAACTGACAGGACTTGAGTGTTAAGCCAATTTCTTCTGGGTACTTTAGCCATGTTGTTTAAATCCAGATAGTACAAATCTCGTAAAGTCAGTGACAGCRTTCCCGTTCAGTCAAACTGAACTTTTGACTTTGAATAGTCCTTATCTGCAGCTGTAGCATACCTTTAAAACAAACCTTTCTGTCACCACAAAGCTCCAATCATTTCATGTGCAGCTATGGCCGATGTCTGACATAAAGCAAACAAAATAGTTCAGGTGATGCTCTTTTTCTTGCAGCGTTGTGCATGATGGGTGGCAGTAGTTTTTATTTTTGTTTAACTTCTTCATTTTTTATGCTTCAGCTTGCACCTCCATCATTAGGCCATAAAACTGATGCAGCATGTGGAAACTCCCTTAAGTGTTTTGATGCTGATTGATCTTTCTTTCAAGTTTTTATATTTCACTTACGGTTTCATATTATAACTTTAAGAAAGTGAAACAGAATTCTGGATTTTTTTGTCACTTCAGTAGAAAACAAAACCAAATATTATTAGTTTATTTAGTTTATTTATTTCTTCATCATCAGTGACTTTTTTAAAGTGAAGAGAAAATAGAGAAAGAGAGAAAAACAGAGAGAAGTAATTAAAAAGATTGAAATAGCGTTTAGAAGTATATTAAATATACACCAAGAAAACACAGGACCACACACCCAACATCTGTCAGCTCACCTGAAAAATAAATGGATAAATACATGGAGGGCATATATAAATATATACACATACCCATACATATGTAAAGATTTACATACATACATGCCTACATTCATAAATATTGTCTGTATATACCCATAGACATATATACACACTCAGTGACCAGTCAGAACCCCCCGGATCAGAACACCTGTTTGTGAGCAGTTGTGAACATGTGTGTATATACAAGATTTCTCCAATGGAATATTTAACAGTGACTGTGGAGGATCGGAGACCCAACCCCCAAGACACGAGGCAGCTATAGGGAAGACCAGAGCCCAAGAGCCCGAGAGGGATCCCGACC